CTCCATCTGACAACCAGAGCAACCATTTATTTAGGTACATGAAATGCTCGTACAATGTGGGAGATTGGGAGAGTCATCCAAATTGCTGCAGAAATGAAACGATGCATGAATTGTGTCATATTAAAATTTATTAATTTGTGATGCTATTGTTACTTAGTCTAAAACAATCATTTAAATTTCCGCATTGAATTAGCAGCTCAAGAAGATCTATTATCAGCCAGAGTAATAAATTTCTTTATGTATTCAATTTCACTTGTCACAATTTATTTTCTAAATGTTACAATAAAAAAATATTTAGATTACCTTTGTAACTAAAAATAGGTTTCATTTCATTTAAATCTTATATTTTATTTTGTCAGTTATCAATATAGATTGTCATTTAGTAAAGGTATCAATTTGACGTTAACTGTTTAATAGACAGTGCATATACAAGTTCTTCTAAAACATTCTCTAGGCGAGACTATAATTTATGGATGAACCAATCAAATTTACGATAACAAGTCTTGAATTTTGGCGGGAAATCAATTCATTCACTTGACCAAATAGAGTTTTGACATTAGTTGATGTCAGTTCGTGTTGAAAATCCTAAATCCAATTCCTAAGCTTAACCATTAACTGTAAATATTAATCCTGATTCCTCACACCGATTTCGAATCCTCTTTTAGCCGTAATGTGTAGGTGGACAATAATTAAATATTCTCGATGAAGCATGAAGATAAAAGCATATTGTCAGTTTAACATTTGAGGCAATTTAACATACAAATATTATGCATGCTTAACTTTTTTCCTTGAGTGTGATATGTGAATAATCAATAGTGAAAAAAGACAAGAAGACCAATCATCAAAAACTGACTACAGTTTTGGATAGATTTGATGATTCATATTAGTACTGAATCATCCAACAATGAGATATACATCGAAGTATTTTCTCATACATTAATATTTTAAGATAAGAATAAAAGTCAAATCTTGAACACATAAAAATACCAATAGTTGAGATCATGAGTCAATTGAAACTAGACCATCATGAAAAACCTGGAAGCACTGCATGGATGTCTTGTCCTATTGTAGGACTCCTCAGCAGTGCGCATCCGCGATCCTGCCTCACGAGATTCGAACTCAGGAACAATCGTTCTCGCGCGCGAACATAACCTCTATACCACTGAGCAAGCCGACATCAAACAGTGTTAATGTCTAACTTCAACTAATCCACGAAATTGAGAGTCACATCCACATGTGTCTTCATCACATAGAAATATATATGATAATTATCAGTTCATTATATTCATATAATATTATCTATTATAAAGTCATTGAATTATAAGCACTGAGAGTATCGTGTTTCCTTTATCAGATCAAGCTGTTTTCATATATTCGATAGCTTGATCATAACACTTCACGTACCTACGGATTCGTATATACTGTGATCTTATTGAAGACTAAAACTTCTTGAAATAAAATTTAAAGATGTTTCGTTGCAGGAAACTGAAATAGAAAAATTCTTTGGTCTAGAAACCAATATATGTAATACCAAAATTTTTATATTTACATATCATGAAAGAAATTTGGTTTTATAAACATAAAAAATAATAAAGATGGATAGTGGCGTTTCTTCCTATTTGGGACTCGTCAGCTGGATGTACCTGCATCTCAGAGTTGATGTTCACTCTGGGAGACTGATCATTTACAGTCCTAAATAACAATGGGAAGATACAAGTAAGCAACACCAAGTGAATAAAAGAAAGTGTTTTAAATTCTGAAAACAAATAAAATATAATTCTTCGTTTGTGTAATTAAACTTTCGCATGATATGATTTATCTCGATTACTATTGATTTCAGATTATCCTTACATTTGTCTTCTGATTGGTTGATTCCGTAAAATAATCATCATCTTTGAATAACCAATCAAAATTGTAATATCAAATAACATTTAAGTTGAATTATCTATGTATTATTAGGCTTTTAGAGTAGACGTGTTCCATGAATGTAAGTGAATCTTTTTTTTATGAATGCAACACATGTTAGGGTCTTCATTAGTATACCTTTTTGAACATTAACATTATGTATAAAGCAGTTTATTGAATAAGAATTAAGGCACCTTATCATAGATAATAAAGTATTTCCTTACCACAGTTAATGTTCAAAAGGTTATCAAAGTATAAGTTGTCATACAATATAAGAGTAATGAAGGATGTATATTTACATTCACAGTATTCGGCTACCATTCTAAGTAGATATGGAAAAGTATCGGACAGTCTGAATCAATCATAGTTGTTTGTCGATAATATCCTTAGCTTTAAGAATATAAGCTTTTGAAACAGAAATGTGTGTGCTCAAAATGTAGTTGCCAGTCTATAAACGTTATTAAACATACTAACCACTCGTTATTAGGTTGCATTAGTTGAATTAATAACTTATTCAGTCAACAGTTTATCTTAAAAAAAGAAATTATTAATTAACCTCCATGTTTTAAAATTCTCTATCATTCAAATTGGAATATTGTAAAATTTGTCAATCATTTTATTAGTCTAATATTTATTTAGATATCCACGTGTTAATAGTTTTCCAATCCAAATTACTAGTCGTTATTCTCATTCATTGTGACTTTTCCTTCATTATCCATTTATTAAAAACCAAATTTATTCATATTCAGAGAGGGATTTTGTGGATATTACAGTAATTTTAATGATTGAATTCATGAGTCAATTGAAGCTAGACCAATATGGAAAACCTAGTATGAAACGGACGTCCTGGGTTTACAGGTTTTCCATGATGGTCTACCTTCAAATGACTCATGAATTCAATTATTTAACTTATTTATTTTAAACCAAATTGTGAAATATTTTAAATGAAGTAATAAAGATGACACTTTTTGTTTAAATCTTCATTTATTAGAATAATGTTTTATATGAATTTTGCATAAAATATTTGCTACATTCAATATTAAGTACCTAAATACACTTCATGAATTCAAAGAGCGTAAAAACGTCATATTTTGTAACATTTTAATTCCTATTAAAACTTTGTATTTTCTAATTTATGAAAAAGAAACAAAAAAAATTACTTTATTGATGTTTTGTTATTTAATGCCAATAAATAATAGTAAAATAAAATTAACAAAAGGTGAGACTATAATTTATGGACAACTTTTCAGCGACTCTAAAGAGATTTTGAGAATGTCCACTTATATACTACGGTTAAATGAAGGTTATAAACCAGTGTGAGGAATTAGGATTATTATTTACAGTTAATAGTTAAGGTATAGTGTCTAAACTCTATTTAGTAAAATAAATGAATTAATTTTCACCAAAATTCATGCTGTCATCATAAAGCTGATTGGTTTGTCCATAAATTATAGTCTCATCTTAACAAAGCTTTCAACCCGTATAGTTCTTCTTTATGAAGTAATTGTGAATTGCTAATTGAATAAACTGATAAAACGATTAGTCTTAAATAGCGAAACGTCATTAGAACAATTTTGTTTTGTGTTGTTTTTTGTTTGCTCATTGAAAACACAAGTTTCCGATAATAATGAATCTCATAAATAAATTAATATATTTATAATATAGCATTCAGTAGAAAAATCAAATTTTCTGATGTTTCGTGACTTAGTGTAAGACCCTTTCTTCAGAGAATAAACAACCAAATTAAAATTAATCCAAATTTAAACAGTACAAAGGAACAACATTAAGAATATTATGATATTATTATGTAATAGTAATGAATATCGTTTAATTAATGCTTAAATTCATTGATTCATTAAATTTGAAATTATCTTTGACAACTATTGTAGTTATCAGTTGTCATTTCTATTATAATTTGATCATTATAATGAATGTTTAAATTGAAAATAAACCTTTTTATATCCACATATAAAATTATTCATTTACTAGATTAAAATGATGTTATATTCAGTATGCGTTAAAAAATTAATTTATGTAAAATTACAATCAACAAACATACAATAAACAATACACAATAGTTCAACAATAGGATGAAATGGCCGTCCTGTGTCTCCAGGTTTTCCATGGTGGTCTAGCTTCAATCGACTCATGATCTGAACTATTAAAATAATCCATTATATCCACAAAATCCCGTTCTGATATTAATCAACATATGCCCCCTAGTGACTGGCTTCAAGAGGCATTTCCTGGAGTTCTAGTTAGAAGCAGTGACCAGTGGAGTTCAACCAGGTCTGTTGTGAGATAACAACTTATTGAAGACAATGGTGGATATATCGCTCATTTTCGTGAATTAGATGAACTTAGACATTAACACTGTTTGATGCTCAGTGGTCTAGAGGTTGAGCATTCGCGCGCGAAACTCATAGGTCCTGGGTTCGAATTTCGTGAGACGGGATCGTGGATGCGCACTGCTGACGAGTCCCACAATAGAACGAACTGGCCGTTCAGTGCTTCCAAGTTTTCTATCGTGGTCTAACGTCAAGTGACTCATGATCTCAACTATTGAATATACAATTATATAATGTCATCTGATTATAGAAGAATTTGAAAAACCTAATTGTTTAAATTCGTCTAAATGATTATCTTCACATTCAACATAATTCATTCAGTTATTTCAATGAATCAATAAATTATGTAACTGTTGATAAAATCAACAAAATGTTTTTTTGTCTTTAAGTGAGATATGTGAATAGAAAATTTCACTTTAAAATTTATGTTTCTAATATTATTTTCATTTTGTTTAGTAAAGATATATGTTATGCTAACTTGGAGTAGTAACAGTATACTGATATTTTTAATGATTAGTTTCTATGAAAATAAAAAAAGGAATTAATTTTGTTAAATAAACGAAGCACATCAGATGATGCAAAAAATAACTGTAGTACATTTTATGCAACTCTGAAAAAATTCACATAGTAGTATGTTATTATTGCCAACAGAATTATTCTTTTTTTGTCTGTAAAAATTCTAGTTTGTTTAAATGATCATATCTGATTTGTTATATTTTGTTAAAACGCCTATTTTACTTCTTCTAGAGATTCTAATTGATATCGCGTACTGTTCTACTAGTTGAACCAATGACATATTTCATGAATTGACACACTGACCAATGAGCAATAATCAAGGTTTCAACAGTTATTGGTTCTCGAGCCTTGTCTAACTCAAATTCCTATCGGAAAGTATAAATAGTAAGCAAATTAGTTCTCTATTGTAGCCAAATCAATCATGACCTAAAACTTATATAGTGATATACTGAAAATGTCTGGTATTAATGCACACCAAAATGGAAATCACAATTATACAATAAGTGATAGAAGGCATAGCAAACAGTACATAATTGATTAACAATAATTAAGAAATATGAAATAATATAACAATACTTAACAGGACTAATGAAAAATTTCAATATGATGAACATAGAAATGGAACAGTAAAGTTTATTGCTAATTTAACAATAAAAATATATATACAATAATCCAAAAAGTAGCTCCGAGAGTTTCAACTTTCCCAATATTTGTTCTATTATAACAGTATTAATCATTTCATGAAATTTGTTTCACCAAACAAGCTACCAATACATCGGTGAGACCATAATTAATGGACGGCCTTTGAGCGACGCTGAAGTAACTTTGAGTGTGTCCATCTAATAACTAGGACCAAATGAGGGATTAGAATTATGATTTTCATTTGATGAATACGGTTAGGAATTAGATTTAGGGTTTTCATCACGAACTGACATCAGTTATAATACCAAAACCCTATTTATCCAAATGGATGAGTAAATATGGCGCCAAAATCCGAGACCTGGTATCTTATACTTAACTTGTTCGTTCATAAATCATATTTTCGCCACATTATTTATAACATCATTCGGAAATAAATAACATCATAGGAAACTAATTCATTTATCCAATGAAATTGTTTCGCTTTCTTTGTTAAATTAAACTACAATTTATGATGATAGCATAAATTTGAATCAGTAGTACAAGGGTAAAACTGTTCATTATAACTTATTCAATACTTTACTAAAGGTAACTCATTTCACAATCATTTATAATCATAGTCCTATAATAAAATTATTTACTCTCCAGTTTGAACATTAAACTATATTGAGAAATGTTGTATGCATAAAACTGTATAAATCATTTATTGTAAATAGTAACGGATCTTTAAACCAAAAATTCTCGTTAACGATGCTCTGTTAAACAAAAAATCATTTGTTTTCTATCACAAAATTTCAACTTAAACATAGTATCAGAAGGGGTATTATGGATATTAAAGTAATTTTAATAGTTGAGATCATGAGTCATTTGAAACTAAACCACCATGGAAAACCTGGAAACACTGGACGGCCGTTTCGTCCTGTCGTGGGTCTCCTCAGCGGTGCGCATCCACGATCCTGCCTCTTGCGATGTTCGAATCCAGGACCTAATAGTCTCGCTCTTGAACGCTTAACTTCTTATTACCGAGTGTAATATTTTTTTATTTTTTGCCTATTGAGGTACATTGATCAGACATATAACTTTATTTTCAGAAAAATATGTTATAAATTAAACCAGCTATAAATTTTTACATTTCTGCTTCACTTTTTACTACTGTTTGAAATCGTTCACTTACACACCACATTCGTTATATCAGTAATGTATTACAGTAAATGTATTTTTAGTTTACTTTAGTATAGATTTTTACTATTATACAGTACAAGGTTTTACGTAATAACTACGTTTGATGAAGAAAATTAATTTATTATAAACATACTGTAATGAAAAAAACGAAGTTTTTCAAAACTGATTTAATATAGCAGTGCTATACAGTCCGAACAGTGAAATCATGCATAAAATTGTTGTGATTTCTATATGAAAAGGAAAAACATCCTAGCAGCTCATCAAAAGAAAATGAACAGCGAAGTTAATAGGGATTATAAAGATTATAGAACTTTGGATTTTAAATGAAGAATCAGTTTTAAAACGTTTCCTCCTTCCTACATTTGTGTATCTACATACTCGTTAACACTACCCTAGATTTTCGGTAAAACAAAAGTTTTATCTTCTCGCCATTGAGAGAATAGGGCACGTGATAAAGAGCACTAGTCGGTAATTGAAGTTTTTTAACACGAAGCTAAGTGACTAAATACTGAATGAGAATGTGATATGGAAATTAGTTACTGGAACCCAAATCATAGAAGATTACAACGTAATGAGCTCAGAGTTTTGTATCTATGTTACATGTAACAGACTTCATCCCTAGTAGTATAGTTTGCGTAAATATCAATAATTTTATTAAATATGCCCATCATCAAACCTCCTTTGAATTAGACTGAACCATGATTATGAAAACTAAGATACTGACCTGTCCATATAGGATTTCGATGAATGACACATTTCATAGAACCTTTTTGTTCTAATATATATATCTAAGAGAGAAAGCTGTTTATGCATCCCTTCTCCAAACGAGAGATTAGTGTGCCTTAGAGTTATATAAATTATCTCTATAAAAAGGCTCGCATCATTAGGCTTGTCATATATTACTACAGAATAATTTAAGTACAGATTTGTAAAGACGCATATTGTCGATTAATCCATCAGATAAATTTTTAAAATGTAACATAAACATTAGTTAGCAAAAGATTCAAAAGACCTACCTACAGTCACGTCACGAATCTGTCAAAATAACTCACACTGAAAAGTGGATTGAATTTGATCAGGTAATAATAATAATAAAAAAACTTCCATTTTTATAAGACAATAAAAGATTATTCTAAGATATGTAGTTACATAAAATATCAATAGTGCTTTTGAATGGTACATTTGTAAACAAAAAAATTACATCGAAAATACATTGTCATAATCATGATATTTATCCAATCACTAGCCAGTTTAAAGATGTGTTTTGTAGAATACTTATACGATTTTGAGATGGTGGAGACTTGTAGCTCAGGTGGATCATTTTGTTGAAGTTTTATTCTCTGAGCTGGATGATTTGGTTGTGAAGCATTCATCGTTCTTCTGAACGACATCATCAGCACAAGTTTCCGGTAGAAGTGAAATGTTAAAATTTCTTCACATGTGGTTTACAGCTTGTCCTGTAGAAGAAATAAACCATGACAGGTTTAAGGTCAACAAGATTCAATCAATATCGAGGTCTATAGGACAAGCTGTGAACCACATGTGGAGAAATTCGAACACTTCACTTCTACCGGAAATTTGTGCTGATGATGTCGTTCAGAAGAACTATGAATGCTTCACAACCAAACCATCCAGCTCAGAGAACAAAACTCCATTAGAATACATATACAGACGGTCTCAATTAAAATTCAATGGTATTATCAACCATTTTGAAAGATTATGTTCAGATGGTTCACACACGGAGAAAACCGAACTCAAATGAATATCGACCTTACAACTATTAGAAAAGGCATGGAAATGAGAAAATAACAAAACTGAAAGCTTTATAGATTAGATTTCTGATTACTAATAAATTTCATGTTCAGTAATTTTGTGTTATTTTTAGTGGGTATTCATCAGTTATAAATTTGCTTGCATTGTTGGTTGTAGTTAATATCTTACTGATATAAGCAAACATGTTGAGAATAACAAAACCCAGTGATTTATCACATTTATAATTAAGATTATTTTAATGATTTTTTTGTGATTTATTTGGAATCGATTAACTTCATTGTTTTATTCCAGGAATATGAAGCCATATCTGTAAGCGATATTCACCGATTTCACTATAAACTAACTTTGATTATTTAAAGATATAAGGACAAGTACAAGTATTTGTTTATTGAAAACTTTCAAATATTTGATACTGATTATTAAATCAACTTGATGTCCTCGATAAAAATTAAATCAAACTACATATGCCTCTTAAATCTGATAATTAGATTGCAATATCTGAAAATATATATGTTATCACTGATATAATTTAACCTAATTAAGTTGCTAAATGAACTTTTTATGAGAAAATCAGGAAACAGAGCCTTTATTTTATATATATTCAAATACAAAAAAGTGAATTTTCAGCATTTTATAACTTGCTTTGAATCACCCCTCTATCGAATAAATAATTTAACAATTGAATTCATAAGTCAATTGAAGCTAGACCACCATGGAAAAATCAGAAGCGCTGGAGGGCCGCTTCGTCCTAGTATGGGACTCCTCGGAAGTGCTTATGCATGATCCGGCTCCGTGAGGTTCGAACCCAGGACCTATTAGTCTCGTATGCGAACTCTAGCACCATTGTATGCCGGCCAGCTCATTGGTCTAATGGTTACCTTCCACTAATCCATGAAATCGGGCAACAAATACACCATCTTCTTCAGTGAGTTACTATCTCATGACAACGGCATCGTGAATGTACATTGTTGAAGAGCAGCATACTAGAACGAAAAGGCCATCCAGTGCTTCCAGGTTTTCCATGGTGGTCCAGCTTCACTCGACTCATGAATTCAACTATTAAATTACTATAATATTCACAAAAACTCTTTCTCTGGTTAATATCAGTTGCAATCATAAAAAAACTATAAACCTGGGAGAATGTTTTTAAATGTCTTTTACTAATTAAATACATCTGGTAAATATTATTGGGTATTAAAATAAATAACTTACGTTAAGTTATTGTGTCATTTTTCCTTTGTTACAAATGATCGAAATTTGCAAATAGTCTAATAAATTATTATTATTATTATTATTATTATTATATCCTTATTGATACTAATTAGATGTCAAGTTTGGATGGAACTTGATGATAAAATTGTAACATTTTGATGCAGTGAAATAATTTTTTTTATTCTGAAAGTTTAAAACTTTGACATGAATTGAGATCGTTTGAATTGTATCTCGAAGAAAATCAATAAAGCTTGGAAACATGTTCATTTGAAAATAGATGACTAATTTGAAATAATGAAGTCTTTTTTCAATTTCGTACAGGTGATGTATATTTAAACCGGGCCTGTTGTGAGACGGTGACTCACTGAAGACAATGGTGGACGGTGGTGCGATTTCGTGGATTGGTTAAAGTTAGACATTTACACCGTAGGATGCCGGCCAGCTCACTGGTCCAGAGGTAAAACGTTCTTGCACGAGACTGATAGGTCCTGGGTTCGAATCCCACGTGAGGGATCGTGGATGCGCACTGCTGAGGAGTCCCACAATAGGACGAAATGACTGCTTAGTGTTTCCAGATTTCCCATGGTGTTCTAGTTTCAATTGACTCATGAATTCAATTATTAAGTTACTATCATCTCCAAATAACTTTTCTCTGATATTTAAATCATTGAGAATTCAAATACTTTTCAATAGAAAATGTTTATACCCACCTTTGATTCTCATTTTATCTATATATCAATTAAAAGAATTGACTTTAACAGCTGTTAGCGAAGTACTTTATTCCAAGTCAGTCAGTATAGCATCTCTTCTATAGTACGTGTACATTAAATTTCAAATTATATAAACGTTAGTTTACTTCAACATAATTTATTTAAATAAAAGGATTTTAAAATTCTACCATAAGGAAAAATTTCTAAGATGAGGTTTTTGTGTGAATTGTTCAATTTGAAAACTGATGATCTCTATTTCCATTACTGACAGATTTCTAATCTTACACTTACGATGTGCCCTGTATCGCAACAAAATAGTTGTTTTTACTTGTTATTCACCCAAAGTAAACCCGTGATATGAACTACAAAAATGTGAATGTGCTATTATTTCTGGTCCGTAAAGGAAAAAATCCTGAATTTCCCCAAAACCTTGAGTGACAAAATTTATGAATTGTATTGATATGTATGTAAAAGTAGATGAAAAGAGAGGGATAATGAAGTTTATCTCTAAATGTAATGAAAGAATAGAATTTATTCGCTGTCTCTATCATGTTGTAAAAATCTAGGGTTGAAATAAAGCAACGTTTAATGCAAAAGTTACTCTTTTATTAAAAATTGTTTTGAGTATGACATATACATTCAAAATCAAAGCTTTCGATATCGTAATAGTTTCAATCAACAGATAAATAATAGATTGAATTGATTTGTATTGATTGATATTGATAAAACGTTTGAGTATTACCGTTCCCTAAACTTCATTGTTTATAAGATAATAATAGCGAAGCAATAACAAAAGCAGTTGTGTATACTGAAAATTGTAATATTAATGATTGTACTTTCGATCGTGAATCTGAGTTCAATATGGTGTACGAGTTTCTGTCACTTTTGAACTCACCATTGTAATGTACTTGGAACTTAACTTTGATGTTTATACTGAGGATGAGACATATAAGTCATTGTTTTAAAAGACACTGAGCTAATAAGTAACGATATCCATCAACTTGTCCAGTCCGTAAAGTGATCTTCTGTATAAGTCTCTTTTCTGATTATCGGCAATCACGATTGATTATCAACAGTAGGACTCATGTATATCTAGTTGATGAATCGATCAAAATGAAAAACGCACCCTTTAACAAATGTTAGACATATGTTATAAGATCAATATTTCAAATGATAAATTGTTGTAGGTCCTTATCAAATTCATTGAAATAATCAATTATATTATTTAAAAGAATTTTAAGTAGTAGATAAAGTAACTTAAGATTCAATGTTGTTTCATAGCTCATTTAAATCTTTTTGAAATTTTAGAAATCCTTTACATTCATTATTGAATATCAGAATTCACATTCATTGAAAATAGTTGCTGATATCCATTCTTTTGATAAAGAAACATTATGAATGATAGTTTGATTTCCGTTAAAACGATCAATCCAACATGGAATGAAAAACGTCATAAATTTTTATTAATTTTAATAGTTTTTGGAATGATTTCAAATATTATTCTCATAGTTATTGTATTTCTAACAAAGAGTTTAATTAAAAAAAGTTTCAGACGTTCACCACAAAAATATGGTAAGTATTAATACTTCATTTTCATATTTTCATAACACGTTAATTATTACTCAATAATGATGTTAAATAAACATTAACCTCTTTTTTATTCACTTGTTGTTTAACTTGTATCTTCTCATTGTTATTTAGGACTAAAATTGACCGGTCTCTTGTTGGTATATGTGCATCTTGTGCCGACTGCCTTGAAATGGCCTGAAGTCACAAGCATTATAAGCAAAGATGGATAGTAGTTAGCAGTGGAATCCAAGACACTCTTTTCGTCCTATTTGGGACTCGTCAGCTCAAATGAAGTCCTAAATAACAATGGGAAGATACTAGTAAACAACACCAACTGAATATAACTTTACCTCATTGCACAAGCTAGTAGCTATCAGGACTCAGTGGCTAAGTGGATAACGCCATGGAGTTTGAAGCGAACGGTACTTTGTTCCAGTCCCAGAGTGAACATCAACCCTGAGGTGCAGGTACATCCAGCGGACAAGTCCCAAATAGAACGAGATGTGCGTCCTGGATTCCACTACTAGCTACTATCCATCTTTTATCACTCTCTTTTTATTTTATAATGTGAAATGGGAGTATTTATTTGGTTTTTGATAAACTTCAAGGCTAGGACCGATAAGGACATCACTGAAAAACACTCATTTTGATGGTCTAAATTTCACTGCATTTGTATGTTCAAAGTCCAAGAAAGATTGATAAACTAGTCACATTATTCAGTCGATTATCTACTCCTATTCCTTTATTGTTTTTCGGAAGCATCTGACGGGAAGCACAGAATATAATGAACAGTTTGCATGCGACTAGATGATTTGGACTTTGTGGAATACCTAGTTTTCTATCTTATACACACGAACATATGCAGATGAAGAAAACTAGTGTAGAAGTAGCCTCTGTATCAGTGTGCTTCAACATGCACAAAAGAAAAACCGAGATCCTCAAATAAAACACGGAGAATACCGATCCAATCACACTTGGTGGAGAAACTCTGGAAGAGATAGAATCTTTCACGCACCTGGACAGTACCATCGATGAACAAGGAAGATTCGATGTAGACGTAAAAGCGAGGATCGGCAAAGCTAGGACAGCATTCCTACAGTTGGAGAACATATGGAACTCAAAACAACTGTCAACTAATATCAAAGTCAGAATTCGTTCAGTAGATGTTTGAATTAACAAATATGACGTTGGTGTATGCCAAATTAGGTACACATATTTCAAAACATGTCACCAAAATCTTTGGCCTTTTTGAAAGAATATCCAACAACTTTAAAGCCGAAACGATGGATTCACTTATGTTGTACTAATAGTAATGTACTACTAAAATTGTTATTATTAAGTACACAATGTTTACAATTTTTTCCGTTGTCTGATTGAAATTTACTAATCAAATTATAAGTTTCATTTGTTTTAATGTTCAGTCAAGTAAGAATTTCAATAAAAAACAGTTTTAGAAAACTGTAAGACAGTTCGAGTAAACAAATATTTAGTAGTAGAATTCAAGATATGCGCTTCGTCCAATTTGTGATTTGTAAGCTGGATGTACCTGCATTCCAGAGTTGATGTTCACTAGAAAATACAAAATGTGACTAAAATTTACTGAAAAACATATTTTTCATTCATTAAAGCACAGTAGTAGTACTGTATCAAGTTTTGAAAACATTCAGTAATATTAGTCAAGTCTTATCTCTTCCAGAAAACACGTGGATTAACTGATGAGACAAAATCTATCTTCATCGTTCGACCACTAATAATTCACAAGTTGTAAAGTGTACCACCAACTTGTGGACGCACAGAAAACAACATTAAAAAGCCTAACCATGTATTCTATAAACATTTGTTGTTTATCCATAAGAAGGTGCAATTCGAAAACAATAATTAAGAAAGGTCCACATTTATTCTGTTAGTAATGATTCAAAGTGTGTCTGCGTATTTTACCGTTACTTACAGCAAAATAATTAGTTGATAATTATACTGTAACAAAAATGTTGCTTTCATTTGTGCTTTACCTTCTTTAGTACACTGATTCTCTCTAGCTGACTTTAAAAAACCAATGTGATTCTAAAATAATTGTTCGTACAGGCGATTTTTGGAGTTGCAGTATTTTTTCAGGTGAAATCACGAACTAAACATAGCTAGACAATCATTAGAAACCTGCAAATACTGGGCTTCTCAGTATTGCACATCTAAGATGCCCAAGCGGGGATCAAACACAGATTTTCTGGTCTCAGGCACGAGCACTTAAACCAATGAGCCAGAATTTAACACTGTTAATGTCTAACTTCAGTTAATCCACGATCTCGCTCAATCATTCGCTCATGAGACAAAAGTTTCTTTATTCAATTTCCATGTTCAGCGTCGTGAACGCTCAATAATAAAGAGTACCATACTGGAGCGAAATGGCGGATCAGTGCCCTTAGGTTTTAATTGATGGTCTAACTAGAATCGGTTCATGATCGTAATTGAGAAAATTATTCAGAATCATAATCGTTTGTTGAAATTTAGTTTTAAAATTTGGTTTATTGCTAGTTTGTATTTTCCAGACAAAACGTATCTAGAGAAGAAAAACAAAACAGTATGTTATTATTATGATAAATCAGGAAAACAAAACAAAAAACATGAAACAAATAAGCACAAAATATATTCATAATATAATTTTTATTAATACGACAAATCGATAAGTTTTCGAAATCATGTGGAAAATATTAGAAAAAAACAATCTTTTTGAAAAGATGACGTGATCTCCTAGGCTTTATTGTTTAGTATGATTATAATGTTTATTAAGTGGACCTTGTTTCTCGATCTCATGAATGAGAAGAATAAACAACTATTGTTTGTAAAGTGGTATTTATTTTTCGTCTATGTGGCTAAAGGTGATCAGGAGGAACATAGGAACCTGGACTAGTTGCTAATTGAAATTTCTCAAGAAGGCTTATCTAACATCTGGAAAGAACTGATACTCTATGATTTTGTTGAAATTGAGTTCCATTGCCCATAGTTATTAACCAGCGCAAAGAATAAGGTGCAATAAAATATTTGTTAATGCTTAGCGATTATTCACCATAGATAGCTGTTGTCTTTACTGTGAAATGTGTTGAAGTAAACACTTCGTATTTTCAACAAAACCTCTCTACTCAAATTTCAGATCGATTATTATGATTATTTTGAACATTTCGAATTAATATCTTAGTATGATACCCTTTTGGTATTTTTGAAATGTTTAGCCTTTAAGCTTCGACTTAACTATGCTTGCCTGGAATAAAAAACCATTGGTGAAATACACCTAAAAGTAAACATGTCTAATCAATGTTTTAAAAAAATCCAAAAACAGGTGAAAGTTTACAACAGTTCAAGGTTAACTATAGTGTCTTAGCTAGAAGCGTAAATAAGATTCTTCTTGTGCCTGTTATTGTAATGTTTTTCGAAGAGTTTGAAGTAGATTGAAATGAACTTGTCAGTTTTATTTTTTATATTTCACGTTTTCACCAAAAATAAGCTGTAGCCTGTTTGTAGATGCTAGTTTTCCTGCTACTTCATGAAAAAGGGGTAATGATAATAACCAGTGTTCACATTCAGCTCCTATACGGAATGCGTTTTTTACTGAGCGCTTAATAACTGCCTTTCAGACTGCTTCTTAACACCCAGGAGTCTACTTGAAACCCAGGCAAAAGTTGGACCAGACACAAAAACTAAGAGTTTCTGTGGACGTACATGGGACCCTAAGGTTATTATTATTCAGTCAAGATAATAAGAATGTAATTAGTTGATTTCTAGAGGTTTTCCTTTAGAAGTCAATAAAGAAAGCTCGTCAGTCAAAGTCTTTTCAACATTTTTCCGGTTTCTAAATGCTTTTTCATATGTCATCAAGGTTCGAACAATTTGGCGCCATGTGGTTTTACAAGGCCTTATGGAGAGCGGTCAGGAGTTCGATGAAAATTTACCATATTCAGAAAATTTTTTTTGAAATCTGTCAGGATGGAACCGTTCGCAACTTTTCAAACGACAGGCAATTAACTAAATCATGATATAACATCCTACCTGATTTAACACAAGAAAAACCTTTTACCTTCATACTTATTGTTTACATAATTCCTATTTTTACTTTTCATGCTTCTGCTTACAAGAGAAATCTGCGAAAGCAACTGAAAAATTTTTATGGTTATTTTAATTAGCTAATCTCGTTCACATAAAAATCCATGGCTAGTTGGCCTCATTATTTTGATTATTCACGTCATATAAGCATTTCACGGGCTTCATTATGATAATTTTGAATCACAAATCATATTTTAAATTTATCATTGTTATTGGGTGCGTAAATTTTCTTACAGACTTAGAAAATAGATCTGTTTGGCAAATGTTTGTTTGTTGAAGTTACACTAGTTTTAGTGACCGGTATTTCGAATTATTCCCTGTAATCAATTTATTTTCCATTGTCAAATAATTTAGGCTTATATAACTAAAGATACCAAACTTATGTGATCGGTTTATGATTTCTGAACACATTCATAATGCAAACGACACAACTTTGAGCGTATAAAAGAAATATGTAAGTAGGCATTAAACGTATTATATTGGTGTTCTGATATATAAAGATGAACTATTTCTATAGTTCGAGTATTGCATTGTTAGGGTTGAAGCTATCACTAGTTCACTTAATTTGCGAACGAGAACGAGATTCGATGACCAAGACCAGTGAGCTAACTATTGACGCGTCCCAGCCCCGCTATCTAGAGAGAGAAGACCAAGCTTAGAATGGAAGTATATTCTGCAACAACCAGAAAACCAGAGATTTTTACAAAGAGAATTTTAAAACCTATATATATATATATATATATATATATATATTGCCATGGAGCTTTTAAACATTTAATCGATAGTTCGTCAATTGACTGTCATTGAAATATTTAAACGTTTAGTCGATAAATTCGTCAATCGACTATGTGCGTGGGTGGTAAGAAATGCCCATGTATACATCTACATACAAGCTCCGCAATATAAAATTACAAACTATGAGTTTTTGGGATCTATCGTCCCCAATATGCATATACTTTTTTTACCCGGAATCTTTCTATATGAATATCAGACAAAGTGCAAACAAAGCTTTATTATCATTTGCACTTAAAATAGACCAAATAGAATTAGTAATGTATTGTTGGTACCATTTCCTGAACAAAACTTAATTACTTCACATTTGCAAAAAGGCCTTAATTACTGTCCATACTTGTTTTGAAATTAGAACATCATTCAATGTGACTGAGGATTGCTATTTTGAAGATAATGTCAAAGTCTAGAAAATCCCTACATACATCTAATTTATATTCAAAGTGCTATATGACTCCGTATGTCACGGAATAATTAGAGCTTGTGGATAGTAAGACTGATTGTGATATCAAAGAATTTTATTGAAATGAGATTACATCCAATTATAAAATTACCTGTCACTTATCTGAACGTTTGTTGTCTAATAATATATTGTATATCTTTAGGTGAAATAACAAGATCAAGTGATAAATCTTTTCCAACAAAACATATACTTCAATCTATTATATTATCAAAATGTTGTACAATTTCGAACGATGAAAAACAGTTCATTATTCAATCCAAGTCGACACATTCTTGTTGTGAATTTGAAATAAATTGGGGTTGTTGTTATTACAAGACTCAATGTCATAGTCATTGTTTCTCAACTTCCTCTACAATCACTCCAGTACCAACTACTATAGAGTTGAATATTTTATCAAGCCATCGAAATAGTAGTTATGCTGATGATTCTGTAACAGAAATTCCAGAAAAATCAGAAAATCTATCTACTAATTCAAAAATAAATTTAGATAAATACACTTTAAATCAACCATGTGAAATAAAATATGAAAATAAACCATTTTTTCTAAATATAAATGAACAGTTAACAAACTATGAACAATATTCCGATTCTAATATAAATGAATCAAATCAAGAACTAACAATTCCTAGTACATCAATACATTATCACCATAGATCTTTATCTTCATTTCCTAATGAACAAACTATTCCAGATCTTGAACAAACTGCATGGTATATTTTATGTTTTTTAATAGAAATTTTAGCATTTGCTCAAATTGGTTATTTACTATTTGAAGATCTCTTACCATGGATATCAAATTTATTAATATTTCATTATAATTTTAGTATTAAATTAAAATTAAATATTAATTGTCGTTTAAAACGTATGTTTGGTACATTTTTTTTATTATTTGAAGAATGGTGTTTATTTATATTTGGTATTGAACGTGTTTATAATATTTGTTTATTGAATCATTATGGATTAAATAGAAATACACAATCAATTATTAATGAACGTAGTCGATATAAATTGCATTTATTAAGTATAAAAATTTGTACAGGTTTATTTATTGCAATTATATTTTCTGCATTATGTAATTATTTGTGGGTATTTGGACAATTTCATTGGATTAATTCAATTAATTTAATTAGTCAAACTTATAATATTACATTAATAGAAACGGTTACATGTAACGTAAGATCAGAATATTTTAAATTTTATTATTCATTTCTTATTTATTTAGATCCATTGTTTTCATTTATTATACCACATTTATGTTCATTATTATTTATTATTATTATTCTATTAAATTATTGTCTTCAATTCATTTGTCGACGATTTCAAAGAAGTTCTACAATACAAACAACTAAAATATTAATAGAAGATAATTATTTCAATAGATCATCTGATAAAAACTTTAATACTTTCTATATCATGATTGATCATTTGACAACAATCATATATCTTCTTGATAGTATTATTATTATTATATTAAAATTATGGCGTAATATTGATAAATCAATAATGGTATATTTTCATATTACATTCAATATGAATTATTATATGATTAGAAATGAATTATATCATTTAGAATTATGTTTCATACCTATAATAACAATTATAATTTATTTAATATTTCATTATAAAATTAGAAAATATTGTTAATAATAATAATAATAATAATGAAATCTCTTGAAACTTTGGATTAATATACTTTTGTAAAGAGCAAGAATAAAGATTCTAGCACTTTTAACAATTTTTTCAACATTTTAATTAAATAATATATAAAGAAGGAATGAAATTTCTCATCTTGGCTCTACACTAATATATGCATATGATTTGCAATAATGAAATAATACTCATCGAGTGGATACGTTATGTAATAATTATATAATATCTCGATTATAAATTGGAAGAAAGTGGATTCATCATAATCAAAGTTGTTGGATTTTCAAATAACTACATTGATTATGATTAATTCTCTCCTAATTTATAATCGATATATAATTATATAATTATTACACAACGTATCCACACAATGAGTATTATTTCATTATTGTAAATCATATGCATATATTAGTGTAGAGCTGTTGGGGACGATAAATTCCCCAAAACTCACATTATAATTTTATCGATTAACTTATCGATTAAATGTTTAAATATTTGAATAGCAATCAATTGATGAACTTATTGACGAATGTTAATAATTTAAATGACAATATCGATTATATATTTTGTATATATACGTTTTAAATTGTTTTTGGTGAATCGCTCATTTTCTGGTTGTTGCAGAATATACTTCTCATTTCAAGCCTGGACTTCTTCCTCTAGTTAGCTGGGGCTGGGACGCGTCAATAGATAGCTCACTGGTCGTTGGTCACTGAATCTCGTTCTCGTTCGCAAACTACGTGAACCCGTGATCTCTCTCTCTTCAAACCCTAACAAGAGCCAAGATGAGAAACTAATTGAGAAGAAATTTCTTCGCTTGATTCGTTCCTTCTTTATTTACCAAATGTCAAAATGGGAATATATATATATATGATTGAATGTACGAAGAAAAAAAACGAAAACAAAGTATTTTATTTGATTGAGTTTATTTGACTTTTTCTTTCGTTTCTCTCCTCAATTCTATCTAAATAAACAGATATCGCCAGACTATAATTTATTGATGATCTTTGAACGAATTTTAAATGGCCTTGAGGAATATCAGCCAATCAGAAAACAGTATAGAGTAAAAATATACTATACAAAAACCAAAAAACTAAAGCGGATACACTTCTTTTACATGGTTATGTTATACAGTTCGCAACATTTGTCATAATTTGCCTTAGTCTCAATCTGGATCGAGCGGAAAAAATTTTGTCCTATGACTTCTTCCTCCAACAAATATTACATCGAAGGATAACATCATAACGGTGGTTTGCACAAGATTCACAATTCATTTAATTACCAAAATCAAAAATAAAGGAATTTCTTAATAGTCCCATTCATAGTAGTCGACCGATTATCATGTTTTCCCTAAAATCCGCTGTGAACCGATTGCACGTGTGCATCAGGTACTGAAATGGGCTCCGTAACCTTGAAATTCCTCAGACACTTCTGATTGGCTCGTCCATAAATTATAGTCTCGCCGCTAGTTCACTATGGAAAACCTGTAAGTACTGGATGGATGTGTCGTCGTTGATGCTCACTGCTCTCTGCACATATTAAGCGTTCACTACCGTTTTGGATTTTAATATTTCTAAAACATAAGTGTATAAAAACTGATTTACATCTATATCGAATATATAAATGCAAGTTAGCATTAGAGTTCAGGACACGCGTTGAGACCTATTTGTGACTTGTAAGCTAAATGTACCCGAATCCTAAAGTTGATTTTCATTTCAGAATATAAACCTAATACTTTTAGCTTCAAATGTCAATATCTTGTTCACTTAGCTGACGAGTCCAGATAACAGTTAACTTCTGTAATTTGTATGAAGTTTAATTTTTAGTACTTTAGATTATTTCAGTGTTAATATTTTGACAAAATTTTAATCATTTTCAAATGATAAATGTCCATCGACTCAGAGATGCAGATAAATCCTGGTGAGGAGTCCCAAATGGGATGAAATACATATCCATCTTTCCACTGCCGATCACATATCTGTTTTGTATGTAGCTGTATATATGCCAAACAAAACCGATCAAAATTCAATTAAAATATCAACAATGGAATAACGCATATCACCAGAAATTAAATTGATTCTTTACTGATTAAAAAAAGACTAGTTACTAGTTAAAAATTGGCTATCAATAAAGAGTCAGTCAGTCAGCTGCAACGTAGAACCAGGCACGTATATGCATCGGTCCAAGTTGCCATACCGCATTAGCACAACAAGATGAACACCGGATTCATAGTAGTTAATTCAGTGGTGGTAATATATAGAAGAAAGATTGTGTATAAGGAGATAGTAAAGGAAGAAAGAATTAGTTCTTAGACAGATATGAAGCGATTTTAATCTCTTAATTTAAGGAAGACAGAGAGTGTATACACCGACGCCATTGTGATCGATTCTGAGCCATGTCACCAAGAGTCTCCAACCATTGGTTACGATAGTCACGCGGACCCCAACCAGGTAGTCTGAATCTCCCAACATGGCTCAGACCAGAAGTTAGTGACTTCAAGCACTGATGCCACGTTTTGGTTTGGCTGCCCCTAACTTTCTTCCAATTATCCCCTGCACTAGTCAGCATTGCGCGTCGTGGTAATCGGTGTTCAGGCATACGCAGCACGTGGCCTAACCATCTCAGTCGATGAAGGTTCATAACCTCATCAACTGATTTACCATCATTCCCTAATACCCTGCGTCTAACCTCACTATTACTTACCCGGTGATCCCAGCAGATGCGAGCAATATTTCTAAGGCATCTGTGGTCAAATACTAGTAACTTACGAATATCTTCCACTCTTAAAGGCTATGTTTCGCAGCCGTATAGAAGGACGGAACGAACTGCCGCGCAGTATACTCGTCCCTTAATTGATAGACGGATATCTCGCCTTCGCCATAGATGACGTAAGTTGGCAAAGGCCAAACGAGCTTTTCGAATCCATGCTGAGATTTCGTCAGACACCAACCCATTAGGGCTGATTAGACTTCCAGGATAAGTGAAGTTGTCGACGCGTTCGATTACTTCACTCCCTATCCTTAGTTCAGTTGTTGACGCAGACCAATCCTGAAGCAACAACTTGCATTTAGAGGGAGAAAAACGCATCCCAAACATTCTGGCATTGTTGCTCAGTGCTACCAAAAGACTCTGCATTTCATCAGCGTCTTCACCATACAGGACTATGTCATCTGCGTATTCTAAGTCAATAAGTGGACCTCCTGGTAGGAGATCAATACCCGAGAAGTCAGTCGATGAGAGCGTTATTTCCATCAGGATGTCTATGATAAAGTTAAACAAAAAAGGAGAAAGTGGACAGCCTTGACGGACGCCACTTGAGGTTGCAAAAGTAGATGACAGTTCGCCATAGGCTCTGACCCGACTAGTAGTGTTCGAGTAAAGAGCCTTCACAAGGTTTATGTACTTCTGAGGTACGCCTTTCAATGACAGACACTGCCACAGAACCTCTCTGTCAACAGAGTCAAACTCTGCTTTTGAGTCAAGGAACACCACCATTGTCGGACGCCGATAAGTATGCCTGTGTTCTAGAACCTGACGAATGGTGAATATGTGGTCGATGCAGCCACGACCAGGTCTGAAGCCAGCCTGATTTTCACGTGTTTGCAGTTCACGAGTCTTAGTTAGGCGTCCGATAATTATCGAAGCTAGTATTTTAGATACTATATTAGTCAAACTAATCCCTCTATGGTTGTCACAGGATGATTTTGACCCTTTCTTATATATTGGGACGATAAGTGATTGTGACCAGTCAGAGGGGATAACGTCTAACTCCCAGATTTTAGCTAAAATATAGGTCAACCTAATCGCTAAAACTAGACCACCATCCTTAAAGACCTCTGGAGCCAATCCATCTGGACCAGCTGCCCTTCCTCGTTTCAGATTAGCTATAGCCTTTTGAACTTCAGCTAGAGTTGGGGGACCTACTTCAATGTTCCATTCACACTGTCTGGGAATAGAGGGTAGTTGTAGAGTAGCTGAAGGCCAGCTAAACTGCTCCTTAAAGTGTTCCGCCCATCGTTCTAAACGTCTGGACTGGGAGCAGATGAGAGTGTCGTCTTTTTCCGAAATGGTCTGACTTTTATTAGTCTGTAGAGTTGTCTTGTGTTCCCTATAGCCGCCGCCTTTTCCATCTCTTTTGTTTTCGTTGCCCACCACTGCTCACGATCATTCCTTAGACTTTTGCTTGACCTAGATCTGATTTCTTTACGCTCTTCGTGTTCAGAACCTGATGGAATGAGTTTACGAGAATCTATCAGTGCAATAGACCTTGAAGAAATCCATTGGTTCTTTGTAACCCTGTGGTTTAAATCACTAATAGATGTCACTGCTGCTTGTATAACTTTCCAAGCAACATCTGGGTCAGCCTCGTTTTCAGAACTACCTAAGTGTGACCTCAGTTGTTCCTGGAACCTACTTTTGGTTTTCTCATTACTCGATTCGGTTCTAATGAGTCTTTTTTGTGTGGCTCTTTTGCGTCCAGTGAGGCGCAAGCAGATGCGTGCTCGTATTAGGGCATGGTCGGAGTCCAAGCAGGTACTCCAGAATGAGCGACAACCTTCTAACGACCCTCTCCGACGATGACTGATGGCAATATGGTCTATTTGAGTCCATCGTTGGTTTGGTGCAGGGGGTCGCCATGTTAGACGATGTCTCTCCTTATGCTTAAAATTTGTGTTTGCTAAAAATAAACGATTGTCTGAGCAAAGGTGCAGCAGACTATCACCATTATCTGTTCTCTGTGCCGGAATACTAAAATACCCTCCTAAATATCTTTCTGTTTCGTTTAAGCTACCTACCTGGGCATTAAAGTCACCTCCTACGAGTACTATGTCTGAACGTTTAGCTTTCTGAAGAAGTTCAGAGAGCTTTCTGTAAAATTCATCTTTCAATTCATCCGAACTGCAGTCAGTGAGAGCGTAGGCAGAAGCGACGAAAAGGCAACGACGTGTGTCCCTATCCTTTCGAGTCCTTACGGAGCCATTTAGCCGAACAGCGCATAGACGACTGTTAACGGGGATCCACTCTAATAGCGCTTGTTACGCCCTCATGCTTAGTGCTATGCCTACACCTGCCAGTCCACGAGAACTAGCCATCGGGTCGCCAGATACACGGAGGGTGTATGTCGTCGGCTCTCCGTTTTGCCGAGGTGAGGTCAAGTGAATGACCACGTTGGGATCCTGTATGCGTGTTTCGGAGACACAGCATACATCAATCGTACGAGATTCTAAGGTTTTAGCCAAGGAAGCCTGCTGACCGATTTGGCATAGTGTGCGTACGTTGAAGGCTCCAATGTGTAGTTTGGAGCGAGGTTTCAGTAGACCTGGGACAGTGTTTTGCGCACAAGAATCGTTGGCTGTGGTGACACTTGAGGAGGAAGCCGAAAGAGGGAGTTTAGATTTGAAAATCGATGTAGGAGGAATAATAGGAATTGAAGAGGGAGGTTGATTATGAATACAGTGGTCTTGAGTGCTGTTAGAGGTATGAGGGCGGTTATCACTTCCCGGTTGCCCACACCGTCGAAGGGTTCTGCTGGAAGTGCCTGAAAAGGAAATTGGATTATGGGTGGTCTTAGTGACCCGAGAGCGTAACCGCAGTGCTCAAGGGACAGCTGCTTGAGGTCGATCACACACGACCTTTTCATGAGTAATTTTTTTGTTAGCCCCGTACTTGTTGAGACCTCACCGCCGGAGACGGATATCCGTGGGATATGGCGAGGTGTGCATTTATAGGGTCGACCTTTTCTAACCCCACCCCTCCTATTGGGAAAGCAGCATCGCTGTCATGCTGGTTGTCTGAAGGAAACACCTTACTGCTGTCACACCTCTGTACAGTCAGCAGTACGACTTCGCCTTCGGACCTTGGTTTTGTTGCTTTTAGTCTTAGCGCTCTTCAACCGACCTGTCTGGCATGGTAGGACCTTGAGGAACAGTTGTTCCAGCCAGTATAGCTCAGATGCTTCATCACGATAGGCAAGCCCGACCACCACGTCAAGG